CATAGTTGTTACAACTCAGCAGGTACTGAAATTCCGACAACATGCTTAAAACTGCATTTATCAAAATATGTCTCCTTTATTGTTATCGTACAAAAGAACATTAGGTAATCCACTGAGATAGTGATTGTAGTCAGGATTATCACTTATTTTCTTCCCGACTCCCTAACCAGAGTAAGGAACAGTGACCTCACACCATCAAGGTATTTACACATTTTTAAGAAAAAATATATCGCATCCTGGATTAGATGATAAAATTTGTGGTTTGCCTCGTAGTTCAACTTTATCAGGTCCTCCTATATTTTACATAGGTCAGTTCGTTCGTTTCAGGACTTTCAGCTAAGTACTGGGCGATCACTACCATACCCAAGGAAAACAAAAAAAGGTCGTAGAAGCACCTGCCTGGATGTGGGCAGTGCAAGATCGGTTGTTGTGGAATCCTTGGAGAAGGGTTCTGTCCAAGACTTTATGGAATGTTGGCCTATTTTTTAGGTATTGGCTCTTTCAAAAATTTGGGAACCTTTCAGCTATTAGGTATGTTTACTAATAACGATATTGTGGTTGTGGGCCTACGGTATACCTATATGTTATACTTCGCTGCAATAAGGTCGTAGGATAGATAACAGAGGCCCTGGGCACTCAACTATAAGGGGCTACTGCTAAACGAACATACTTGTAAACCCTCTGAGTCCTTGGCTGAAATGATCGTAGGCTTCCGCAATTCTTTCCAGATTGTCAGGTTGGCAGCGCCTGCTTTCAGCGCCTTTCTGCAGCCTTCATGGAGTAATCTATTCCACTTGGACGTAAAATTCTACCATGCACAGTGTTCCAAATGCGTAGATTTGTTGTTACAAAAGCGGGCTTACGGGATACATCTTTATTTGGCTGCATTAAGGTCGCGGGATAGATAACAGAGGCCCTGGGCGCGACCGCGTACTCCTCAACAATAAGATCAGGCGTTAAGGCGACCCTCCCATTGTTTCGGGGCTCACTTAACGCGCCAGAGGTAATGGGCTGGGGTGAGATTCATGCTGTTTGTACTTTCTGTTTAATAACTATCTGTGTATCTTAGTGATGTTCTTTGATGTTAATAGTAAAAAGTATGTATCAGAACACTTTTTTTGAGATGCTAATTCAAAATTCAATTTCTTTACGAGGCATACATGCGGCTCAAATAAATACATAAAGTTTGCCCTACCATCACTTCGGGACAACATACCGGATACCTAGTTTGGGAAAAAGTAATAAATATTCCTTTTTCAGCATTTTATTTATTACATTGAATCACTAACTAATATGTAACATAGGACCTAATTGTAAAGTTTCAGTTAGTAAACAGTCGTATCATCGATCAATTTACCCACAAAATAATGAATATCCATACAATTCTCCTATAATATTTTATATCAATTCAAAAACCATAATTGTATTCAATTTAATTCGGCTCGTAACATTAAAATAGCCCGGAGAGATACAAGTGACTGTGCGATTTCCATTCAACAATAAAACATGAATGCAGTGCGTTTGACTTGGAAAACAGCGAATGTGAATGAACCAACGTTTTATATGTAGGGTTCAACAACTTCCTAGTAATCATTAACTTATTACTCTGACACTATCCTATAACATACATTCGAACCTATTCGAACATAATAATAACCTTAAATCGTAACCAAAATAAAGAGTTTGGTGTCGACTGACCTAAACTATTGAAATACAAATTTCATTATCAATATATTTTTTTTCACGTTTTTCTGTTACACCCTTATTTATCTTAATCGTTTGTTGGTTTTTCCCGGTTCCCATAAGTGGTGTGTTAAGTCCCACAATTTATAAGGCGTAAGACCGTACAAGAATCCGAAACCGCAGCGGTTAACCGGCCGGTTTTGTCAACACCCGGTTAAAGTTCAAAAACGAAAGAAGCCGGAACGCCGCGTTAACCGCAGAGGTATTCATGTGTGCAATTCGGGCTTTCCACTTGAAAGAGGGCTAATTTAGTGGATGCAGATTTGCCGAAAATATGTTTAAGCCTTTTTTGGTTGCTCTCATGAGCTGAACGCGATTTGCGCGTTGCGTTGCTGAGCCTGAAAAAGTGCTGTATTTTTCATTAAACATGATGTTAATATTTAAAATAGGTATCATTTGAGGTTTATTCAAAATCGTGAAATTACACACATATTATTAAAAAAAAAAGATAATAATAAATAAAAAAATAGAAAATAATAAATAAACTATGTTTATAAACTAATAAACTAATTAATAAAAAGAGGCGCTAAATAACTGTCTAAACAACTCGAGAAGGTGCCCAGAATGCTGGCTGCATTTCCACGCCGAATTAATTATAATCATCATCTCAGCCATAGGACGTCCACTGCTGTACATAGGCCTCCCCCAATGCTTTCCATGTTGCTCGGTTGGTAGCGGCCTGCGTCCAGCGCCTTTCTGTTATCTTTATAATGTCGTCGGTCCACCTTGTGGGTTATATGTAATTATAATGTGAGTACTTTAATTATATTAGAAACTACAGGCAGAAGTTATTGTACTAATATTTAATAACTTGATTCCTTTGTTGTCTACCTATCAATCGCGGTCGCGTATCGTAAACCCCGCGTCTAGATTTCGCTTCAGTTGGAAAAACGGGCAAAGGAAGTAAACCGGGGCCGATCGCGCTTGTCCCCCGGGTCTCGTTGGCGAGCGGCGTTCGCGGCCCGTTCTTATGATTAAGCCGGGCCACCCGGGACTGCTTGTGCCAAGACAATTTTTAGCAAGCACGATGGAAATAATTGCTTTATTGGTTTTAGTTGGCGATTCTCACTTTGGTGTGTAGCTGTATTATACGCCTTCGTGGTGCTAATAGAGTGGAGGGAGTTCTTAAGTTCGATTCAACTGCACTTTACTGGTGACATCTTTGTCAATGTTCAGGATTATTTATAAAACTAACATTTGCCTGCGGTGGGGTCGAACCTCATTTAATTACGTACAAAATTAATTCGCTTACTAATAATAGATCTACACTCACGATCTGTGTAAACGTTATCTCGTTACGACACACTGCACAATGCAAAACAACCGCTTTGAAAAAAGATCCAACAGTTTACATCTGCTTGCATTTTTAAGCTGGAAAACAGGAATTTGTAGCGCCCCAGTTCCAAACAAGCTATTGGCTGACTTTGCAGTGTAGTGGAAATTAAATCTGGTCCTCTGTAATAAAGGAATAAGACCTCCTTTTGTTTCGCTGGAAATATTTCACAAGAACAGCTTACTTTACGAAATTAAAAATTAAAATTGATTACTTAGCCTAGTAACGAGTACGTACCTAGATTCGGAAGTTGGCGGCAAGCCAAAGATTATTGTGAAGTACAGAAACGTGTTTAGTTGCATTAAATATTTTTGATGTAAAAAAAGACTGGTGAAATGAAATATAAGCTTAAGTAGAGCAACAAAAAAATTTACATTTATTGTATAAGGTCAAGATTAAATAAAATAAAGTTTGCAGAGTTTTTTTCTACGATCTCATTTTAAGTAATTGATTTCTTCTAGATATTATTGTAAAGTATCAAATTACATATTATATAAATCAGTAGAAGTTATACATTATAATAGTGTCATAAAGTAAGTAGATTTCTACTCGATAAAATATAACTAAAGCATTTTTTAAAGTCGTCAGTCTTTTCCCGAAGGGCTGGGTCTTTAATCATTCAGGCTTTACAGTCGATTATATTTAGTTCAAAAAACCTCCGTACATGATTCGAATCCTCGAATGGACGTGTTAAGCGTTAGATTGTTTACCGACAAAGTCAGCTCCGAAGCACATGTATTTAATTTATAGAATTGATGTCAGTCATCATTAGGATCCTGTTACATACGACACCAAACAAATAGGTGTTCATTTAATAATGATTGAATGTCCATAAAACGACTTAACCGCCACCAAGTTCGCTGTTTAACATTTGACTCTACGCTGCGCTGTTAAAGTTGAGTTTCGATTGGGGTTTTTTGGAAAATTTGATACGGTAAATACAAGTCTAAGGGAGCAGGGTATTAACGCTGGCTTATGGCACTGTATTAATTTTGAACCGTAGTAACTTAGGCGGTGACAGAACTAAGACACCAACACATAATTCACTTGGTAACGCAAATGAAACTGCGCTTAATTTACTGTGATAATTTAGCGAATTCCTTTAGTCCACAGTGCTGCGGTGGGACCCGCCGTGGCTGGGCTCATAGTCATACTATTGCTATTGATCTTTATGCCCACACGTATGATTCAGCTATGACTAATGACACCTTTACGTTGTTTAGCTAACTTGTACCTTTGAAAAAAATATTTTTCATAACCTGCGGGCTCTGAAAGACAAACTGAAATGTCACTCTTGACTGTGAATAGGTAAAAAAAAGGTTGCTAGTATTAAGCATTCAGATTTTTTCATCTTGTGTCAATAGAGATACGAACGTACTTAATATCATTAAGGATTCTAATGCATACAAATGGCATGCTTTTCTTGATGATTGTTAGAATATTACGAAACATTATGTAGGTAAACATTATTACAACATTAACCAAAATAAAAATGCAAATTGAACACGCTAACAAAAACATATTTTCACCCAACCCATTCTCATTCCAACTTCTAAAGTAGTTTCGATTTTATAATACACTAAACAAAAATGGGCAACAGCACGTGAAATTGCCGGCAAAAAGAGAGAAGAAAATCGTACGGCGCAGCAACACGGGCCGACTCGGTTCGCGAACTACATTACAGTTTACATAAAAACATCGTGTTGAACGACAACGGGGCATCAACTTTCCCAGCGAAGACATAAGCGAAATTGAATTACACATATTGAAAAAGAAATGTGTAGCTTCTTGGTAGGCGTGGTTTGGGCTCAAGACTCCTCCTACAGTCGGATTCGCGCATGGAGCGCGAAGTCATCGCTCGCGCGTAGCGTTGAGTTAGCACTGCGCTACAGCCGACTCAGTGCGAAGCGAGCCGTGCATCGGGTCTGTGTTGGCAGCCCTCGCAACTTTCGGAACCACGACTTCGACTCGCGTTACAGAACTTTCGTGACTTTGTTACAACAAATATGGAGAAGTAAGAACTGATAATGACACTCGCTGAAGAATTTTGCAAGCAAATGGAGTTTTGAGTGAAAAACTTGTTCAGTGTTGTGAGATTGTGGATAGCGGATTTGTTCAGATCGATGCAATTATGACTTTTAGGTGATTTTAAAGTTGGCTTATATGTAGGTAAGTAAGTTTTACGATTACTTCTCGCACACTAAAATATATTTTATACATGTATAGTATATTACATACTTTAAATTATAACTGGTTAAAAAAAGATAAATAGTTGCACAAAGTTATAAGTTTCTTAGCAATCTGGAATTATATTTTCAGTAACTACTGTCGACTATAAAGAAAGTTTAAAACAAATAAAATACTAATTATATTGTTATAAAATAAATTGAAATTCTGACATCAACCATAAATAATTAAAAAGTTCAAAAATATATTTTAAGTCGAGCCTGTCTAAAAGATAATCTCATTACGTTTTCATTTTTCCATTCTATTGTAGGAAAACTTTGAAAGAAGCGTAATATAAAACATAATAACCTCCCCGTTAGGAGATAGAAATGCCGTTAAGTAATTTTGTAGTCATTTAAATACAGTTGACAGCAAAACAGACTGTTCAATTTTGTGTCAAAATAGCACCCATTAAAACACAAGGTACCACTGTGCATTCCTTTTCATTTATACTTACTTATTCCTATAAAAAGACATTTCGACTCAAGTTGAAAAGATATTTCCCGTGGGACCAGTGTACGAGTACAGGTCAATGAAAAATATCAAATGTGTAAAAAAATCGAATTGTGAAACATTGGAAATAATCGTCTCGAACTTAAGTTTGTAAATATTATGTAAATTGAAGCACAGTAAATTACGAATATTATTCAAAAAAACATAGAAAAAACAGGCATAAAGATACAAGCATACATTGTGGTAAACAGCTGTTGTTCTTGTTACTATAGCAGTTATAAAAGCTCATGACCTTTTTAAAGAGTTTTACACTACCATGAATATTTCAATTGCAAATAAAATTATTTCTCTCCTCAATATTAAAATTGAAGGTGACACTGATACAATCCCTTTAGAATGCAATATAAACCTTAAATTTAATATTTATCAAACTCTANACCACCAGTGTCACCATTCAAACCAATTGCGTAGAATCTTGTAACATAGTAGGTGACGTAATCGGTAAAATTTTATCTTGTATTTAAGTAGGTACCTATTTATATTATGTTATAGCTATTTATCTATGAAAATAAGACAAAATATATGTTTTATAAACACTTAAGAGTCATTTACAGTAATAAAGTTTGAAAAAATTATTGCTGTGAAGTACAGAATCACTTTCGTGGCATCAAAAAATTTAAAACGTTAAAACTTCCAAACGAGACTCACTATTTGACTGATTTACTGAGAATACAGTCTTCACATCAAGCGCTACAATTTTTGTTTACAAAAAGTTGAAATAAGTTAGAAATAAAATTCGCCACGAAGGTGACGATGAGAACCGTGGCGATGAGAAATACCCAGTTGCACAAAGTTATAAGTTTCTTAGCAATCGGAATTATATTTTCAGTAACTACTGACGACTATAAGGAAAATTTTAAACAAATAAAATATTATACTGTAACAAAATAAATTGAAATTCTGATATCATAAATAATTAAAAAGTTCAAAAAATATTTTAAGCCGAGTCTGTCTAAATTAAAAGATAATCTCATTTCGTTTTCATTTTTCCTTTGTATGAAAACTTTGAAAGAAGCGTAATATAAAACATAATAACCTCCCCGTTAGGAGATAGAAATGCCGTTAAGTAATTTTGTAGTCTTTTATACAGTTGACAGTACAACAGACTGGTCAATTTTGTGTCAAAATAGCACCCATTAAAACACAAGGTACCACTGTGCATTCCTTTTCATTTATACTTACTTATTCCTATAAAACGATATTTCGACTTAAGTTGAAAGGATATTTCCCGTGGGACCAGTGTACGAGTACAGGTCAATGAAAAATATCAAATGTGTAAAAAAATCGAATTGTGAAACATTGGAAATAATCGTCTCGAACTTGAGTTTAAAAATGTTTATGTAAATTGAAGCACGGTAATTACGAATTGATATTCGAAACAAACTTAAAAAAAAGTAGGCATAAAGATGCAAGCATACTTATATTGTGGTAAACAGCTGTTGTTCTTGTTACTATAGTTAACAAAGCTCGGTGATCTTATAAAGAGTTTTTACACTACCATAATTGAGCCTATTTCAATTGCAAATAAAATTATTTCTCTCCTCAATATTAAAATTGAAGGTGACACTGATACAATCCCTTTAGAATGCAATATAAACCTTAAATTTAATATTTATTAAACTCTATTATTATCAAAGAAAACGATGCCACTAGTCCATCAACTTTCTCAATGCTCTTTATTGTACAGAAAATAATCCGATCCTTTCATAATCATAGCGTTCATTTTCCACTGTGTAAAGTTGGACTAAATTACTTCAATTAATGAAGAAGATGAAACTAAAATATTATTTTAATCTACCCTAAACGTCGGGTGGAATAGAATTCGTTTGTTTGTTAATAAATTGAAACCGTTTAGAAATAAGCTTAATAGTGAGTTTAATTTCAGAGTTATTATGAACTGCAATTCAATAGTGTTTGTGAGAAAATAGCAGTTTTCACATTTTACAATGGAACTGTTATTAACTAGTGCTAGTTTATTTCTCACGAAGTTTGTTTCAATATTGACACTCGAGGCAAGTTAAGGAATGAAAATTGTAGATACAGACTATCTGACCCAGTAAAAATTGTTTTGGACCTAGGGTTATGAAAAATAGTTTACGTCCTCTTCTCAGACCTACCTACATGATACTCCTCACAAAATTTCATAAGAATCAACCGTTTCAAAGGAGTTTTGTTACACACACGTGACAGGAATATTTTACACACAATAATATTAATTTATTGTTATAACCTTTTATGTCATAAGATTAGCCTAGAGCTTGAACTGTCAAATAAGTTACTAACATAACTATTAGAGACAGAGAAATACTTACTATCTCATCAAAGATTCTTTAAACACGAAAAATCATTTTCACTATTTATTCATAAATATTGGAAAACATCCTGAAAAGAGAAATATAAATTCAGAAGAACATCAACTCGACTAGAACAAGCTAATTGAATAAGTAAGTTGAGTAGATTAAAGTAACGAATTTATGAATTTACAGTCTGCAAAGTTATGTCTTTGCTAGTTGCTACGAAGTTAACCTACATCTAAATTGGCACTCGGTGTTTCTTAAATTTTTAAATACTGTTGAACTGGACGCTTTCTATAATTTTCTTGAAAATACGAGCATTTCGGTTTCGAGTTAAAAAAAAATAAAACTTAGGCTGAGTTGCACCAGCTGATTTTTACGGTAACTTTATAAATAACCGGTGTTTATTGTATGGAGTTTGACAGATTTTCGACGTTTGTCAAAGATAAAGTAAGATGGTGCAACTCAGCCTTGATAGGCAGGAGATGATCGTCTTTTTTTATTTGATTTTTTTCCTTTATTTGTTGTTATTGTAATATGTAGTAAAAACTTTTTAAAATTAAATGTCTGCTAATATGAATATGCGGGAAGAACCTCGATGCGGGCAGTACAGGACCGGTCCTTGTGGAAATCCTTGGGGGCTAGGCCACGGCTAGGCCTTTGTTCAGCAGTGGACGTCATATGGCTGAAACGAACGAACGAATGTGAATATAATATGGAAACGTTGAAAAATTTAATCGTTTTTAAAATTAACATTAAATTAAAAATTTGTTTCTTTGAAATTTTGGAATATAAGATATTCTGCTCCATAAAGTAATCATAGACTAGCTTAGGCAATTAGGCAATAATAAGACCCTAAAATTTCAAAATAAACATATAATAAATAACTTTTAATTGAGGATCTGGTTAACAACTTGTTTACCTAGGTTTTCAATTATCTTCTATTATTAAATATTTAATTTTGCTTTCGATCACGTTTACGGCTGAGCATTATTTTATACTAAAAGTATTAAATTATTAACGTATTATGGAATATAAGAACTAAGTAATATAAATTCGAAATTTATTTGCTGTTTGTTGATTTGTCTGCAACGCTTTGTGCTCAAACCGTCCTGAAAACAATTCAAAGAACTTTAGTAGAAAAAATAGTAAGAACTAACAAAATAATAAGGGGCAGAGAGGCTCGCGNCCCATCAGGTCTCCTTTCAGGGCCTCTCCAAATCATCAATACGCTGAAATATTTTAATTTAGGCTGAAATTAAGGCTGAGTTGCACCACCTATCTTTGACCGTAACTATGACAATAACCGGTGTTTATTGTATGGCGTTTGACAGTTAGGCTGGGTTGCTCCATTTTTTTTTACGTCGGGAAATGCTTTGCGCATACCCACTGGTCGATGGGGACGGCCAGTGGGTCATGTGGGACTCTCCCCGCCTACCCACTAAAGCTGGGGCCTACCCACTAAAACCTAACGGTTTCCACCAGAGCCCAAAGAAACGGAGCCACAAGTTATTTTCCTAGTTGGACATTGGTCCACAGCTCTGCCTCAGGCTAGAGGCTCGCTCACGAGTGAGCCTCTCCGGCTTCGAGGGAACCCCCAATCCCCTCCTCCAGTTGTTTTTTATAGAGGTTTTCTCCTCGCGGCCCTGGTACAACAGGACCCCCGGCCCGACGTAGCGGGTTACGGTCTGCTCCATGCCACTGCTCGGTCAGCTCTGCTGATCAGAGAAGTACTGAGAGCGGCCCTCCAAAGAATGGGCCCAGGCAAACGCCCCGCCAGCCCCCACCTGTGGGGGTTTTTAAAGATGTCCCCTGCATCGTGGCCCGGGCAAATGCCACAACGGCCCCGGCCCACTCATTTGTGGGTTACGGGTAGCCCGATAGGCTCACCGAGTTGACGAGACCTGCCATGCTGGTGAGAAGTTAGCCGCCCGCGTGAACAGATCACGCGGACGTTGCCCAGGGTGCACCAAGAGGAGGTCCCTCACCATCGCACCCCAGGGTTGCACCACCTTACTTTAACTTTGACAAACGTCAAAAATCTGTCAAACGCCATATAAAAAAAGTTTTTTTGATCACGGCGAGAACGATAAGACCCCTTTCTGTAGCAGATCGAAATATCCGTGGGCAAAGCAA